ATGTCCAAACCCCATCTGCTCTGCCAGTTCCTGTGGGAATGAGCTGCTGCAGAGGGGAAGATTTGGGTGAGAATGTGGTTCTCTAAGAAGGCCATAACTAAATGCTTGCATGGTGGTTTTGGCTTCTGGAGCAGTGGGGTAGGGCTATTGTTGGTTCCTACCCCTCCATCCCATGATGATGTAAGGGGTGAGGGATGCCATGTGTGCTGTGCACTGACAGTGATCCTCAAGAAACCCTTCTAATCCTCTCCTTCGAGCTAGTCAAGTTCCTGGAAATGACAGAAAAAGAAAAAAAAAAAGTCCTCAGTTTTGTGCCCTTCTTCCCTTGTGCGGTGAGAGGCAGGAGGCAGAGGTCCAGCTTGGTCTCTCTTTAACCTTTTCTTTGAGACAACACTATCTGCTCCCACCACAAAGACACAGAGGGTGCTCTTTGTCCCCACCAGTGGGAAGTGGCTCTGCTGACCTCACTAAGAGTGCTAGAAGATGAGTCTGTGAACTAAACAGTTGAATATTGCCTAGAGGGGGTAGCAGGCAGTAGATGTGCCACCATTCTCTTTCCAGGACCCCACTGGGAGTACTAGAACATCAGAGGACCATCAGAGGAGAGGAACCATCCCATTGTACCCCCTGAGCATCGCCAGAGGGAAATAACCAAGAAATTGTCCCCAAAGAAAGGGTACTGTGTAGCCTTGTGTTACCTGCAGGAATGCAGGACCGATATTCGAGTGTGGGGGAGGGTTGGGGAAGTAAGAAGAATTTCTAGTGACATATTTTAACTAATTGTAGGCATGAACTGTGCCACAATGTCCCACCGTGTCATGATCCCACAGAGAGACCCACAGGGGGGTCGGGGCCAGGAGGGCTCTAGAAAAGTGCAGTGCACATGTGTGCCAGTGTGCAGAGCTCTGTGTGCACACACAGACACCGAAGTGCACACGTGTGTCAGTGTGCACAGCTGCACACACGGATATTTTCTAGCGTGTCCAGATGTAAGAGTGCCCGTCCTGCTTTGCACGGTGTCCATGTGTGCGGGTGTGCACAGCACTGTTCACATCTGTGCACTGCTGTGTACACGTGTGTGGAGTCTGTGCACAGCTCTGTGCTTGTAGGTGTGCACAGCTCCGCAAGGGTGAGCACGGCTCTGTGTGGGACATCCGTGTGTCAATGACACTGCACGTATTCGTGTGCACGAGCTCTCTAAGTACAACAGGTCTTGTGCCTGTGGGCAGGTGAGCATTAGTGGAGACTGCCTAGGTGTGTGTGTGTGTGTGGCACGGATGTGCTGGGGGGTGTCTGTGTCTGTGTGTGTCCGTGTGTCTGTGTGTGTCCGTCTGTAAGAGCCAAAATGAGGTACGTGGGGCTCCAGACGGCTCTTTAAAATGCTCTTTATTGTATCTAGATGATACAGCAATCCACGGGTCGTGGAGCCTTTTCAGCCACAGCTGTAGCTTCGTCTGAAGCTTCTCTAGTTCTGGTTACAGTGCATTATATACTTTCCTTTACAGAGCATCTTAATACATGACAACCAATCAATACCTTTACTATTACCTATAGCCTATCCTTACTACTAATATTACCATATTCACGTTACTATTGTCCAATCACAAAAGGTTAGTATGATACACTTTAAGCTAGAAGTACTTTTTCAGTTTTCTTGCATTGGAAAATTCTGAGATCTTTTCTCTACTTGCCACACCAGCTTTCTTGTTTGTGAAAATCTTTTGCCTTGGTAAGAACATCTTTTGTTTGAGATGGATTTATCCTTTGGTCTAAGTCATACAAGCCCCGTCCACCTCGCTCGCTCTTTGTCTCCTGGTGGCGGCGGCCCCGGGGCCGGGCTCTCCCCGGCTCTGCCCAATCAGCGCGCGAATGCGAGGAGTGACAGCAGAATCAGCCAATCGCGACGAGGGGCGGGCTCTGAACATGGCACGGACTCTGCTCCCTTTGGCCGGACTCTGCCATTTCTCGGAAACCTCGCCTGGGGAGCGGGCGCTTCGCTGGGTCCGGCGCGGGCAGGAGGCCAAGGAACCGCTGCTGCCCTGAACCGCCGGGAGCTTAAGTCGCTGGGGTGAGTCCAGCATGGAGCCGGCATCTACCTGCAGCCTCGGCAGGTGCTCGATCCGGAGCAAGGGATGCCTGAGAGAGGCCAAAACCGCTCTGTCACTTCCCTCCTCACCCTGGGCAGGGAACAGAACACATAAGGAAAGGCTCGAGGGTCTGGATAAGGGTAGGGAGAATTCAGTCATTGGTCATGGGCACAACACACTTGACTTGGGGAAATTAACTGAATTTATCATCCGACAAATCAGCACGACAACGACAAGTTAGCCAAGTCCTAAGAAAATATGTTCTCCCCACCTCTCCCTCTTTCCCATGCTTACCTCTATCCCATACTCTCTCCCCCTCCCCGCCCAGAGGCACAGGGCTTGGTGGTCACAGTCACGTCATGTCACAGCCTCCCCCTCAGGGACAGCAATCCTTGTTCTACTCCAGGTCGGGGTCCCTTCCATGCGACACAGTACCTCCCTCAACAGGCTGCTCCAGCGGAGATCCTTCACGGCATCACAAGTCCCGCCAGGAGCCACTTCCATGGCCCTGCAGCGGCTTCTCACGGGCTCGGGGGCTCTGTCAGGCATCCCCTGCTCCGGGCCGGGCTCCTGCCAGGACTGCACGTGAGTCCCTACTCCACCCCGGCCTCAGCTGCAGCTCACGCCGAGCTCCCGGCGGTTCAGGGCAGCAGCGGTTCCTCGGGGCCCCGCGGGGGATGGGCCAGCCCGCCCCTCGCTGCCATTGGCTGATTCTGCCGTCACTCCTGGTTAATATGAACCCCTCCTTTCGTGTAACATCCCATATTCACGGCTCTGTAAAGTGTTTCTCCTTCTGTAAGTTCAGGAATTGACCAGGATCTTGGCTGAGCAGCAGTCTGTATCAATTAGTTTTCTGAAACTGATGATTTGTCTTGTTACTTCCTTTTGTACAAGTTCCTGGCCCTGTCTCCAGGCACATTCATCGTAGTCTGTTCTTCTCATTTTCTCAATAATTATCTTCACTAACTTTATTGCCATTGGCTCAATCTCTTTTCCTGGGTTCTCTTGGCTTTGGGATTATTCTCAGTGACCTCATTGCCTGTCCTTTTGTAGCCGTTTCTGGATCAGGAGGCCTGGCTGCCACCTGCGTCCCCTTGCTCATCTGCTGAATGAGCTGCACTCAGCAAAGTGTCGTGCATGATAAAAAGATGAGAGTTGCTGCAGCACATCAGAGGAGGAACAACCTATAGTCTGCTAGGGAACCACGAAAACGTGTTCCATTCCCATCCTTTCCACATTTCGACCAGAATACGAGCTATTTTCTTATTTCCTTTGTTATCTGTTTAGCAACTTCTCAGTTATCATCTATTTGGGAACAGTACTTTGAGTCATTTAATTTTCCACAGACTCTTCCTCCTTCTTTTAATAGATAATCTGATTCTATTCCATGGTGAAATGTCTCATTCTTCATTTCTATTGATTGGTTGGCAGGAAAGTCAGGAGCTGGAGCTGTCTGGTTGCTTATTATTTCGAGGACAATTTTAAACCTCATTGTGCCACTCAAATTATGGATGGATTTTCTGTCTCCTGATATGGATTCGTTATGGTTCCCTGGGGCTGGTCCATGGTGTTGTAGGATTTGTTCTGGTGGTCGTTCATCTTTTCCCCATTTTTGGGTGCTCCCTCCAGCCAGGGCTACATCAATTGGCTGCTTTTCTCTAAATAAATCATCAAATACTTGGATTCCCAACTGATTTCTCTGAACAGTGACAACACATGTTGGAGTGGGGAGAGGGATGATTCCCCTCCATTGTTTTTGATGAAGTTTCCACAACATGTTCCATTTGCTGTTTCCCTTTGCAGCTTAATCAATTTCTCTTGCTGTCACATATCCTCACTATGGGGTCTGGCTTTAGTTGTGCAAATTCCATCTGTGCAAGCAGGCGGAGCTTGAGATGAGGGACAGAGGGAATCACCGATATTCCTCCCCTAGGCAAGAAGACTCTTGTACATTGTCTACACTTTTCTCCAGCAATGTTAATTTGCATTTCTAAAGCTCCTCTCCTGGCTGCCTGGAACCGATGCTTCTCTTTCAGAGCAGCCATTAGGTGACTCATATGTGACCCCACCACGTATGCTTTTTTACTTGTTAACAATATTCTATTAACTGTTTATGTGTTAAAGTGTCATCTTTAAAGCTCTTCTGGTTTTGCAAAATCCATCCTAAAGGTGAACATCGAAAAAGCCATACCAGAATTTTGACATCACTAAAGAGCCACTGACAAATACACAAAAAATTCCAATGCAAATGGTCAAACGATGCACGTGGGAGGAAAAGATGGGACTGTGTTGGAGGAGGAGGAATAGTAGGAAGAAGAGGAGTGTGAGGAAGAGTAGGGACAGAGGAGGAGGAGCAGAAATGGGAATGAGCACAAGGTTCCTCCTCTCCCTGTATCTGCAGCCTCTCCCCAGGCCCAGGAGCGTTGTCCCCACCACATGCAGCAGGTGACTGAAGAGGGAGATCCACATGGGATGAATCTTCGTGTTTGTGAGCTTTATTGGGCTAAATATTGGTGCTTTGATATTTTTTCAGGGCCTGAATCTTTATATTTTGGAAGGAGTTTTGGCTAAATCTGTTTGTTTGGGGCGTTTTTGATCTGTATCATGATATTTGGAGGATTTTTGGGCTTAATCTTGGTGTTTTTGAGGTTCTTACAGACGCAAGCTTCCCGATGTCTTCCCGAGTTGTACTTGGGGAAGGAGGAACACCCAGCCCAAGGCCCTCTCTTGTTTTTTCTCCAAACCAGGATTTTTCATTCCAAAGGCATAGGCAGATGGAGGAGGAGGAAAAGCCCCAGAGATCCTTCAGGAGGAGGGGCTGCAAACCCAGCCCAGGGAGCTGCGAGGAGGAAAGACCCTCCCTGATCCGGGAAGGCGCCTGGAGATCCAAGCGGAGATCAGAGCTGGTGGAGAAACCTCCTGGAGGGGAGAAGCCCCACAAGTGCTTGGAATGTGGGAAGGGTTTCAGCTGGAGGTATGAGTTGATCTGGCACCAGAGGATCCACACTGGGGAGAAGCCCTAGGAGTGTGGGAAATGTGGGAAGGGCTTCACAAGGATCTCTCACCTGATGTGGCACCAGGTGATCCACACAGGGGAACGGCCCTACACCTGCTTGGAATGTGGGAAGAGCTTTGGGTGGAGCTCTGATCTGAGAAGACACCAGCGCATCCACACTGGGGAGAGGCCCTACGAGTGTCCCAAGTGTGGGAAGAGGTTTCAGACCAGCTCCAGTCTCCTCTTGCATGAGCGGATTCACACAGAAGAGAGGCCCTTTCGCTGCCCCGACTGCGGGAAGGGATTCAAACGAAACTGGGCCCTCACTGTCCACCGGCGCATCCACACCGGGGAGAGGCCCTACGAGTGTCCTGAGTGTGGGAAGAGCTTCTCACAGAGCTGTCCTTTGACCCGACACCAACGGAGTCACCACTAAGGGAAGCCCTGTGGGTGCCCCGAGTATGGGAAGAGCTTCATGCTCTGCTCCAGCTCCATCCCCCATGGGAGGATCGGTGTTGGATGATCCCCAGTGACCGCTGTTGGGCAGAGCCCTGGTGATCCGTGGTCCTGGTGATCCGTGTTGGGCTGGGGGAAGGGGTTGGAGAGATTTCTCTTTTCCTTGTGCTGCTATGATTTGGTTGGAAATAAATTCCGTCCATGTGCCCAGGCTGGGTCTGTGATGCCCATTTTGCTGTTTGGTGAGGATCTCTCCCCATCTTAACCTGACCTAGGGACTCTTGGTTAAATTTTCTCTCCCCTGTGCAGCTGGAGGGGAAGGGTCAGAGTGACTTTGGTGGGTGCCTGGTATCGGGCCAGTGTCACCCACGCCATGGGCACCCCTGAGATCCCAGTGTGGTGATTCATTCCCCCACTTCTAGAGAAAGTGTCGACCCAAACTGAGGCCAGGATGAAACATGGTTATGACTGGAGCCCACTCTCTTGTGGTCCTATCAACAGAAATCCAAAAGGAGATCTTTGAGCTCTCCTGGGCCACCGTGGGCTGTGACCAGCAGTCTCCCTCTGAGGGGCCTCTCAGAGCCAGCAAACCCTCGGCTTTGCTATGCCTGGAGGATCGCTGAAATACGACGTGTCCTGGGCCCATACCCTCACTGCTCAAGGCCCCATCCTTCGCCCAGTGGGAGATGCAAAAACACCTGAAGGGAGGATTTCACTGTGCTCTGAGGGGAATTTTTCCCAGGTACCTTGCTTGCACTGATTGTTCCTGTCTGTGTGTGTGCCCCTGCACATATGTTATAGCAAATGTGGGAGAAATACAGCTTTCCTAGATGTGGAAGTACCTTGTCTGCAAGGTTTAGTTATAGTTATGAACTTACTTAAATATTTCTGTTATTCTTTTGCTAGGTTGTTAAATGTAAGTCATAAGCTAAGTGTTTTTTTCTATTAAATTGCTAAGTACAACTTGGAAGTTATAGCTATAAGTTAGGTTAAATGCTGTTAAGTGTTATTGCTCTGTGGAATTGTTAAGGTTAAGTTATAAGTTAAGTTAGGTATAAGTTCACTGTTGTTGGTCTGTTGAATTGCTAGGCCTAAGGTATAAGTTAAGTTATTCATTTAAGGTAGAAGTTAAAGTGTTGTTTAGAGTTGTTAAGTTCCTTTTAATCCTTGCCCTCACTGTCTTCTGTCCCATGCACCTAAACACAGCACACACCCACCCACACTCCCCTAGAGAGTTCCAAGTTAATTTCTGTTCTGATTGCATGGATTTTGTTTGGTTTTTTGTTGTTGCTTGTTTTCCCTTGTTGTGCCTCAGCTGTCCTGTAGGCAGTGGAGTCAATCTTGCCAACGAACTTGTGCTTTGTCGCTTAATATTAAATCTGACTTTAGCTCATACCCTTGTCACCGATTTTTAAGCGATCTTAAATACTCTCATTCATGACAGCACCACAATGTCCGGCATCACTGAGGGCCCTGACACATGCCCCTGTCACAAAGGGCCACCCCCGGCACCCAAGAGCAGAGGGACAGCCTGGAAGCGGCCCGGAGCAGCCCCGGCCTCGTGGCCTTGTAGCCTGTGGCGTGGCCAGAGCCCTGGGAGGCTTTGGCCACGGTGGGAGCCGGCAGCCCCAGCCCCGGCCTGCAGAGCCCTGGGGCTGCAGCCCGGGCTGGCCGGGGCAGGAGGAATTGGCCGGGCCGGAC